TTTTTTTTTTTTATAAAGATTTTCTTATTGATTGTCTTATTATAGATAAATGTATACTTTTTCATTGTTAATTTCCAACGCTATGTAATTTGTATGTTAACTCCTAAAAATTCGAAATAGTCCATACAAATATTAATCTTTATCCAAAATTTTTAAATCTAAACGCTTGGGTAACTTATATTGTAAACATATTTTAAAATTCAATAACATTTGTATATATTATCAGTTTTTTTTTATATATCATAACTTAAATTAGTCATATTTTGACAATATATAATTTAAAATGCATATTTTATAGGTAAATTAAAATAATTATGCCTATCTGATCTCTATCAATAAAAATTTAAATATTTATCAATTATAATTGAAAAAAAACATGAATTTATCTATCAAGCTTATTATATGGCATAAGTACTAAAGAAGTTATAATGTAATATCCTCGAATCTGGCCGGTAAGGTATATCAACTTAAATAAAAACAATAATGTTGTTTTATAAAAATTATTTAAAATTTTAAAATAAAAAACTTATATTTATAATTTTTACACATATTAAACATAATTTTTTTTATTAACACATATTAACTATATTAGCACCAAACATTGAGCCTAGGCTCGCCTATACCAGTATCCGCCTCTGACTATATAATACATAGAAGCTAGAAAAGAAACAAAATATATAGCAGTAGAACTGAAATAATAAATAAATAAAGAAATACGAACAACAAACTAGTGCAGAATAATTATATTTGTTGTTGTTGTTGTTGTTGTTGTTGTTGTTGTTGTTCTTGTTCTTGTTCTTGTTGTTCTTGTTGTTGTTGTTCTTGTTGTTGTTCTTGTTGTTGTTCTTATTATTATTTTAGTATTTAAATATTTAGTAGCTTTCTTGGTGATTAAGTTAGGTTTAACATTTTTTTGTGATTAAGTTAGGTTTAGGATTAGGAGCCTTATATAAAGGACTCCCTCTAGTTTATTTTGCAGAGTTGATTATTTAAATGAAATAAGATTAGATATTGTGAGTTTTGCGTGTTTTACGAGAGAATATCTCGTGTACTCGTTTATCCTTCCCACTCGTACGGCTTCCCTACATCAGATGGTATCAGCAGTCAGTACAATTCGCGATGTCGTCGGGACGACAAGATGCCGCAAACGAACAATGTGATGCAACCTTCAACGATCAGTTTCAACAGATTGACTACTGATTTCAAGAGTTGGACGTGCGTTTCACCGATTGGTTTGCCGATCTTTCGACAGGGATCGAGGATTTGCATTTGACGCTTAACTACGTGGTTATTTCAGAATTGCAAACGAACTGCGATGGAACTGTGGGCCGTGCAGGGAAGGCAAAGGCGGTTACGGGGGACGCAGCCATGTCGGGACGCCCCGGCAGCGGTCCTCGCCATCTCTGAACGACATCGAGGATGGCGACTTTACCAGGTCGGCCAACCCGTTGGCAGATCGACCACCATGGCGAGGAGACGAAAACCCAGGTCAGTCCCGAGTTCGCGAGCAGCGGCGGGCAGAAGGTAGTTTCGTACATGGCGGTGACCGCGACGTCGAGAAAACCCTAGGTGCGGTCCGATTGTACGACGGGCCATTGTACGACGCTCCGCCCATTTTCTATGATGAGTCGTCGGTGGCAAAGACATCTTTTTGCGAAAAAATGGGTCCCGCATGGAATGTTGCACAGTTTGAGCCTTCAAATGGGAAGTCACCGTTTACACCCGATTTTTAGAGTATCTTGGCCAAAAATGGATTTTCGGAGCCGATGTTGAGATTCAATAATGGGTGGCCATTTTTCTATTGTCTATCGCGAAGTCTTCCAACAACGGGATGTTTGGTCGTAATTATGGATGTGAGCTGGTGAACGATCTGGCATGTTTGGTGTTAATTCCGTTGTATGGGTTATGAGTATGGAGGCGTGTACATGTGCCTTTGCAGCAGATCAATCCTTGCCCAAGTTTATGTTTACCTTCGGGGTTGTTAGACGACCTTTAACCTTCGTGTTCGATCGGGGGAAGTGTTGTAAATATTTTTACCGGAGTAGAATCAAGATATTCGTTCCTCGGGTCGTATCACAAGGAAGGTTAGCCGGAATATAATGAGCGTTTATACAATCACATAAAAGAAAAGAAATAAACTTCTTAAACACTCTAAATCAAAGGAAGGTTTGGTTTTAAATTAACAACTACTAGAATTTAAATAAGCAAAGCAAATAGCAAGCGAACACGTAGAACAAGTAAGATTCAAGGGGCTAGGGTATCGGGGACAATCGCTTCCGGTTCTCAATACATTCAACGGGCAATCAACTACTCAGCTAAAGAACTCGAAAAACTAACTCATCTAGAGATTCATTCTCAATATCTCACGAAACAAAAGAATAAATATAAACGAACAATTATCGAGTCAATTAGCACATAGACAATACGTCTCCGAACAAGTCTATTCTAAACGAGCCTAGATCGATCGATTTCTCCCCTTTCGGTTTTAAAATTGATTAAATAGATTAAGACGGTGATCAATCATCTGACCCTAGAATTAACACAACTCAAAAAGATTGAGCAATTAATATACATATAAACGAAATTGAACCAGAACGATAATCCCCTAACCCTAGCTAACGAATTTAGCTACTTATCACAAATTTAACATAACCATTCATACCAAACAAAGTCAAAATCCATAGATAAAATGAAAATCCCGAGTGCAAATGAAATTTGAAAGATAAAAGAGAGTTATTCACCCTCCAAAATCTTTTCTAAGCCAAAACAAAGAGAAGGAAAAATGTTTTTCTTCCTTTTTCCGTGAAGTGTACGAGAGAAAAAAAAAAAAAAATTAAAAACCTAGGTTCCCAAGCGTAATAAAAATTGAGATCATAATTTTCTGTTTTAAAAACTGAGATTCACGACTTCCGCGGCCGCGGAGAGGCCCGCGGTGAAGAAGGCCTCCACGGCCGCGACAAGCCCGAGGCCGTGAGAATTGAGGGCAAAAACCTGTGCGTTGGGGAGATTGTTTGTTCACCGCGGCCGCGGTGAAGAAAAACTCGCGGCCGCGGAAGAGAAATCTGGGCGCGACGTTGACAGTAGCAGGCGCCGCGGCGTGGCAGCTTGTCGCGGCGCGAGAAGAAGCTTCTTCACGACGTGGTGAGGGTGACGCGGCACAGCGGAGGGAGAGGCGCGCCTTGAGGAGTAGCAGGTGCCGCGGCATGTTGGTGGTGGCGCGGCGCGAAACATGGATCTGCCGCGGCGTGATGGGCTGCTGCGGCGCGGTGAGGAGTGGAGCAGCACCGTGAAGCTTGAGAATGTAGCGCCTGTTAGGGAGAGCTGCTGTCGGAGGGTCGTGGTGAGGTGCAGCGCCGTGGTGAGGGTGGAGCAGCGCCGTGGTGAGGTTCTTGTGGTGCGCCGTGGTAGAGTGGCTGCAGCGACGTGCTGAGGTGGCGTTGTCGCGGAGAGGAAAATGCAGCCCTGAAGGTGGAGGACTTGTGCACGTTCAAGGAAAATGCGAGCTTGTGTCGTGGTTAGATATTTTTTTTTTCTTATGTATTGCCAACGAGAAATTGTATTTAATGATGTCCACCCAGTACATTTACCATGAGAAATAAATCCTCCCGAGCCTTCCAACCTGCACATCAAAGACAAAGAAAAATCGAAAAAATACACGAGAAATGCAAAGAAGACTAAAATAAAGCAAAACACACAATAAATGGAGAACCGAACTAAAAATCAACAAAAAGTCCTAAAACGGAGGGAAAATAAAGAAAAAAAATAACTAAGAAAAACGCAACAAAAATGAGACAAATAGGAAGCGCCCGGGCTATTCCTGTCACGGGGACGTCTCCAGTGGGGACGTGTCGGATTCGAGGACGAATCCTGCTCAATCGGGGGAGAACGATGCAGAATAATTATGTTTATTATTATTATTATTATTATTATTATTATTATTATTATTATTATTATTATTATTATTATTATTATTATTATTGCTATTATTATTATTTTAGTATTTAAATATCTAGTAGCTTTTTTGGTGATTAAGTTAGGTTTAACTTCTTAGTGATTAAGTTAAGTTTAGAATTAGGGTCTTATATAAAAGACTCCCTCTAGTTTATTTTGCGGAGTTGATTAGTGAAATGAAATAAGATTAGATATTGTGAGTTTTGCGTGTTCTACGAGAGAATATCTCGTTTACTCGTTTATCTTTCCTACTCGTAAGCTTTCCTACATCACAAACAATAGAATTTGGGCCCTAAAATCACTCTACATTACGCTAGCTATAGGTTGAATCAGAATCGATTTTTCGCTTTTAAAAAGGAAACATAATTTAATAGTAATTCGAACCCAAAACCAAAAGTTATATGTAATACCCTAAATCATTTTACACTAGTACGTACCCCGTGCGATGCACGGGACATAAATATTAAATGAGTTATTTTCACATGCTTTTATCGTTTAAGTATATAAAACAATAAGATTATCATCTATTTTTCATCTATTTTAGTCAGCGTTAAGTATAATAAACAATAAGGTTATAATATATTTTGCACCTTTTTTAATCAACGTTATTTTTTTAGTCAAAATATTAAAATAATTAATATATTATTTCACTAACATATTTATCCTAATTTAAATTTGATTTAAATTTAATTTATCCCTTGATATAAGAGAGAATAACAATTTTACTTATTCTTGTTCACCATATAGTACTTATTATTATTTTATTATACACGTTATGTCATATAAAGTCATTTTTATTTATAAAGTCTTCATTTTATTTTTATTTTATGTAATGAAAAATATCTAATGCACGTTGGTATTATTTATTTATGTAATCAATTTAAAATATGTAAACAAATTTAATATTAAATAGTGTATAAATATTTTACAAAATATACACATGTTCTTTTAGAATTTAATATAGTATATTAATTAAACAACTTTGATTTAAAAAATCTCAAAAATTCGGTCCCCTCTATGATCAAGATTTTTCTAATTCACATTATATGGATTTATGGCTTATTTAGCGTACTCGACAATGAAAATATATTTTACAAGAATTTAGTTATAGAAATAAATCAAAAAAAAAAAGAAAAAAATATAATCATGGGTGCCAATAATATACAAATAAATTCTAAACAACAGTTAATATGTTTCAATTTTAATTTTTTACTATTAGTAAAACTATTTATTGTATTTGGTCATTATCTCTTAAATTGTAAATTATAATAATCTGAAGAACGATTTATTTTTTTATATTTAACAAAATAAAACTTAAGAAACAAATATTGGCAAAGATTAATTCACCAACTTGATTTAGTCTGATTACTTGGAAGAAAAATCTAACTAACTTGTTACGATTTTACATAAATATTTTAAAAAGTGAATATTGGTGGAAAAAAAAAACTTATATTATGGTTAGAACTTAAAATATAGTGTAATATTATCTTGACCAAAATATTATCAACATGGATCGCAGAAATCAATCTTGTAATTTATTATAATGAATATCAGTGAAAGTATTATAAATATTAATAAAATAATATTTATTTTGACCAAAATATTATCAACATGAATCACGAAAATCAATTTTGTAATTTATTATAATAAATATCAATGAAAATACTACAAATATTAATAAATTTATTTAAGTAATTATTTGATCTTATTTGAAAACGTGTAAATAGAAGCAATTAATGCATATATTTAAAAATTTCCAACAATAGTATGCATTAAATGTTTCCTAAATTTTTGCTACTATTTTTAGTAAATGGTAATTCTTTTTATATTTATAGATTACGCTAACAATAAGTTGAATCAGAACCGATTTTTCGCTTTCAGAAACAAAACATAATATAATCCCTCCATATATATTAATTCAAAACGTGTTGAATTTAGGTGGCATATTGTCACACTTTGGATGCTGAAATGACGAAAATCTATGTTTCATGATGTTGTTTTCATATTTTTTTGTTGTGGAGTTAAGTTTGATATTAGACATAAATAACTTTACACATATATTCATTAACTCAACACTCATGTTGTACATGGATATTAATACTAGTAGTAATTTGATCCGAAATGCAAAAGTTATAATAATCGTAATCTGATCCCAAATGCAAAACTAAATCAGTGAGCATGTTTGTGTACAAAAAAACTCACTCAAACTTTAACTTAACTTTAATATCCTCAATATTATCAATATAATTAAATAATATCATCCTATCATTCTTACACATCACATATACTTTAATCGCACTATTCATTCACTCACACAATTTTAACTAATCATCACATCATATCATATCTCTCCTACTTATTCAAATTACACTAACAACTAACCATACAATTTTTTTTCAAATTAACTCTAGTAAACCAAAAAAATCCAGGTTGTAACTAAAAATTTTTGTATACAAAGTATAAAATGCTCTAAATTGTTACAGTTATCCAAATTTAAAATAGTACATTTGGCATGTCCACACGCTTGACACGTCAAGTA